TCAAAATAATGTGTACCCAGGACCAGCGTTGTGGCATAGCATTTAAAGTCACTGTCAGCATTGCTGGCATCCCGTATGGGTACCATTGGCTATTCTACTTCCAATCTAGATTCCTGCTAATGTGCCTGGGAAAGCAGCAAACGATGGATCAAAGACTTGGGTCCTGCCACTGTGTGGAGCATCCAGATGATCTTCCCAGCCTAGCCCTGGCCATTATGGCCACTTGGGGAGTGAACCAGCAGATGGAAGATCTCTGCCTCTCTCTGTCTCTCTCTCTCTCTGTCTCTCTCTCTCTCGTCTTTCTCTCTTTTCTCTATAATTGTGCATTTCACAGAAATAAAATCTTTTTTAAAAATTACAGAAGAAAGAAAGAAATCACCATGCTGTTTTTCAAATCCTCCTCCTCATCATCATAATGACCCAACTGTAAAGGCAATGGCTGGGTTTAGGGAGAATTAGGAGGGCACAGAGGAAAGATTCTGATGTGGGAACCTTAATGAAGGGCAAAAATTAGACTGTTGATGCTGTCCTTGGGGCTTGGGGCCTTGCGGGAGCCTTGGGAGGGAGTTGGGCATCGTAGGGACTGCCGTGGACCACTGCCTTCACCCCTGCTACAGCTCGTTGGAATTGTGCCTTGTTACACTCATGGCCCCACCCTACCACTATCCCTGCTTTTGAGTAAATCTTTCAAGAAGAGAAAGACAGAGAATGAGCCAGAGGCGTGGAAAGGGTAGGAGACAAGAAGAAGGGAGAGTGACAGGGAGGGAGAGAGGCAGAGAAGGAAAAGAAAAATGAGAAGTGCGCCTCCCCAGCCCTCCATGGGTCGTGGGAAGTGGCACTCTGCCTCGGTTCTGTCAGGAGTCGCCATGGAGACGGAGCTGGTCTCTCCATGATTAATACTCCCAGGCAGCTGTCTTCTTGGAGTCGTTTAAAATACAGGCAACCGTTATTTGAACACAATGATATTTAGAGCAGGGAGATCAAGGTAGGACATGGGTGGGGTGGGATCCCCGTGACCACTACAATTGGTGCTGGGCCCTGCCCAGAAGGGAGAGAGCGGAGGCAGCTGCCTGTCTCCCTTCAGCTCCCCATCCACTCACCACCTTGCTCCCCACACCCAGGGCTTCCCATCTCAGGCACTACGGCATTGGCATCTAAGGGGCTGGCACAGCACCTGGCATAGGGCTGTGCTCAATGAACATCTGATGAAGGAATTTGCTCATTCACTAATTCATTCAGCTAGTGCTTGCTCACTGCTTCTCTAGAAAGTAAACTCTCCTTTTTCTCTGGAAATAGGAAATTCCCTCTTGTTCCTCCCAAGGCCACACACACACCAACTCACACGACATGCACTCCTCGTCAGGGTGCACTGGGTGTGACCTTCCAGTGGCACACATCCTGGGGATATCTTGCGGGGCTGGTTGGCAGCCAGCCTGAACTCACAGAGGGTATCCTGTCTGAAAAGCTAGAGGAAGAGCCTCTGCTGAAAACCATCTTGGAGTAGGCTGGCTTAAGCTCCACCCTCAGCCTCTACCACGCAATAGAAGGTGGCCTTGGGCAAGTCATTGAGTCTTTCTGCTTGCACACCTCCATGATGACTGAAATCATCATGGTTTTTTAAGTACTCATTGTAGGAGATTGTCCTGGTTTCCTCTTCTGTAAGTTGTGTTTTTATATTTGCAGTGTGATTAATAGGAGACGTATACCTCTGAATGTCTCTCCCTTTCATCTTCTGAAGATTTTTATTTAATTTTAGTCCAGCAACTCTTGGTAGACAGTTTAACCTTTAGGGGAAGTCTACTAAATGCTCAGCTTTTGGTCCTTCCTCAAGAAATCAAATGGTGAAACACAAATTGCCCTCCAGATGCCAAGGCCCGGTGTGTATGTGTGTCCACCAGAGGTAAATAGGCACAGAGATGAGGGAGCAGCCCACACCCACAGCACAAGCTGTCTCTCCTAGCTCCTCTCCCTAGCAGTCCTGCCTCCCACCCCAGCACCCCTAAGGCACACATTCTAACAGGAATGGAGGGTGACTCTGGCCCTTATCCTACAGCAAACCTAGCCCAAATGGCCCTTGGCAGAAAGCAACCATGGGCTGGCAACTCACCAGTGGACTTGGGGAATTATCCGTGACTAAAGAGAAGGAATGCTGTGGCAGAGGGCAGAACAGCAGAAGGGATGGGCAACCTGGGGCTGGCCAATCTGGCCCGACGGAGCGACCTGGGGAGCGCTGGATGCAAGCCCAGCCAAAGCTGGCCTCTCCCCGCCCTTCCCAGGCAGCAAGATGCCAGAGTGGATTGGAAGTATACATGCTCTGAGTGTCTCGTGTGGGCTCACCTGGCCCTGACGATGCATTTGGATTTGAATCAAACCCTAGGTCTGAAACACAAGGGAAATGATGCCCCCAGTGCCTCCTTCTTACAAAGGCCGGGTTTTCGTGTTTGTTGCCCGCACACGCCTGTGCCACGAACACGGAACCATATCTGCAGTGATTTAGGAGGAGAGTCCTAGTGCACGGCTTTGTGAGAACAGCAGGATACGTGAAGATGCCTACAAGTGTGTCAGCACATGTTCCCCCGGCGACTGTGATGGGACATACTCTGTGAATTCACGCGAGGGTCATGATGCACTGGGGACAGTTATGAATGCATACCGAGAAACTGAATGATTGGATGTGTGAACAATAAACTTAGGTGAAAGGACTCCAAACTTGCTGGGCTTGGGAACTCCATCTTGGAAAGGAGAGGATCAGGGGAAGAGAGGCTTGGAGATAAACTGCCAGTCACACTTTAGCCCCCTCCCCAAGAGTTTTGTTTCTATTTCAAACAAAATAAAGGGAGAACTGAGACCTTCCATCTTCACTTTTCAGCATCCAGAGACCTAGGAACTGAAGCTCAATGAGAAAAACAAAACAAAACAAAACAAACAAACAAACAAAAAACCACTATTCCACATATTTATTTAACCCCCAGTTTGATTCCAGAAGGGAGTTAAGCAAACCAGAACACAAAATCAAATGAAGGGAGAGCATATTTATTTATTTTTATTGGAAAGTCAGATATACAGAGAGGAGGAGAAACAGAGAGGAAGATCTTGCATCTGTTGACATTCCCCAAGCAGCCATAATGGTTGGAGCTGAGCCAATCTGAAGTCAGGAGCCCGGAGCCTCCTTCAGGTCTCCTCCCAGGTCTCAAAGCTTTGGGCAGTCCTCGACTGCTTTCCCAGGCTACAAGCAGGAAGCTGGATGGAAAGTGGGGCTGCCGGGATTAGAACTGTTGCCAATATGGAATCCCAGGGCATTCAAGGCAAGGACTTCAGCCACTAGGCTACCGCACCAGGCCCTTAAAAAATAAATCTTTTTAAAAGAAACAATTATGGATGAATCCTTTTTTAAAAAAATTAAGTGACATCCTTGAAAGAGGAAGAGAATATAAGGCAGAAGGAATTCACAGCAGAAGAGATATGGGAGTGGGGGCAGGGGGCAGAATGACCCAGCTGGAGCCAATTCGGCCTTTGCAGCAGGGTTGCCACCTTCCCAAGGCTAGGGGATTTCTCCTCCTTTCTCCAAAGCTGCTCAGTGACGCCAGGTACTGAGTCCGGGGAAATGTTCCTTATGGATGTCCCGCCAGAACAACATCCCCATAGGTAAGTCCTTTGGGTGAGGGCAGGAAGACCATTGCAGAGAACACACAGGCCCGTGAGTGCGGAGGAGGGAGTAGGATGTAGGAGGACTTCGCTGGAGAACCATTTGCCACTTGTTTACCAAGGCCCCAGATTTTCTATATCTGGGACTGACACTGGGTGCAGTGGGTTAAGCTGCCCATGTAACACTGGCATGCCATAGTGGAGCCCTTCAGATCCCAGCTGCTTCTCTTTCTCTCCAGCTCTCTACTCATGCACCTGGGAAAGCAGCAAAGAACAGATCAAGTACTCAGGCCCCTACCACCCCCATGGGAACCCCAGACTCCTGGTTTCAGCCTGGCCCAGCCCTGCCTGTTGCACACATTGGAGAAACGAAGCAATGAAGCAACAATGAAAGCTATCTCTTTCTCCCCATCTCTCCCTCCCTCTGCCTCCCTTTCCGTAACTCTGGCTTTCAATATTTTTCTAAATACCCTTTGGCACAAAATTACACTCTGGAAATTTACACTGCAGATGCATTCACATTTGTATGGTAAAAAAAAAAAAAAAAGTTGGCTCTCACTACATTAATGAAGGCAGTAAAAGCAAAAGGTGGAAAATTGCCTCTATGTTCATGCACAGGGCACAAACTAACTTGTGCTCCTCCCTTACAGTGGAGTGTTATCCAGCCTTAGAAGGGAATAGCCAGCAATCTGTGTTCAAATGCTGCACATCTCTCCATTTGTCTAAGTGAAATATATGTATGTATATATGAACAGTATTATGTTTGCACATACACAAAAATTGAAAGAATACACAAGGAAAATAATGTGGCACCTCAGAAGGTAGGAGCAAAGAGGATGGGAAAAAAAGAGACTTTCACTTTTCAGTTTAGAAGATACCCTTTGGTACTTCTGACTCCTCGCACCCACTATTAGCAAGCACTGTGCTACCGTCTTTCATTCAAATGTTATTCTTCATCGCAAACACTCAAAAAAAAAAAAAAACTCTTCAGAACATAGAAAATGAGGAAGTAAGAATAAATGCTGATAACCTCTGTGGTTTACGGAATGTACCTAGAACTTCGTATTGCCTCAACTCAGTCTCCCCAGCAAATTCACAGGTGGGATTAAATGATAAACTATTAAGTGGCAGAGGGCAGATTCAAACCCTAACCACACTATTTCGAAGCCCACGAAGACCCACTTCTAGGCGGGAAGAACACGGACCAAGGCCAGATCCCACACCTGCCGCGCCCCAACCGGGCGCACCCCCGGGAAGGCGCGCACAAGCCGCCACGCTTGGGGAGCGCGCGCGCACGCCACGGCGCGGGCCCGCCGGCGGCGACGGCCACGTCACAGCCCGAGCTTTCCTTTTCGGGAGTCCCCGGCACACATCCTGTGTCCATGTTTGGGCATTTACGTCACGGCGGCAGGGCCGGGGCCTCCCGAAATGGCAGTGGCCCGGGGAGTCGGAAGCCCGGAGCCAGCGCCGCCGCAGCTATATAAGTGGGGGGGCTGTGGGTTGGGGGAGCCCGACCGCGCTTTGGAGATCCGAGGAGCCACCGCCCGAGGCAGGTGCCGGGAGGCCAGGGCGCCGCGGCTCCCTGACCCCTTTCCCAGAGGTGAACGCCCAGAGCCAGGAGCCCGGGTGCTTGGGAGTGCGCACCGTGGGGCGTCCCGACCGCCCGCCTCCCCGCAAACCGCGCGCCCCCAAGCCCAGCGGGCGAGGCCTCGGGCGTCCCGCAGCCTCCGCCGCCGCCGCCGCGCCATGCTCCACCTTAGCGAGTTTTCCGGCCCCGACGCGCTCCTCAAGTCCACCGAAGGCTGTAGCGCGGAACCCAGCGTTGAACTGTCTCGGCTGCCGGCCAGGGAAGCTTCCGCGACCGCAAGCTACCCCGGAGGTAAGGAGCGCGGCGAGAGGCACTCAGACGGCGGCGCGGCCCAGGGCGCACGATGCCTGGAAATGGCCGGGACTGGGACGCTGGAACTGTGGGGATGGAGGTTATGGGCGGCGTGAGGGGTCCTAGGAGTTGCGCACTCCCAATCCCACCCCCACTGGATCCTGTGCGTGCAACAGGGCTCCCTTTTGCCTGTGCACGTGTGTTTTGCGTGTGCATGTTTGTGTGTGCGTCTTGGGACTTATGCCGGCCCCTGCTGGATCAGAATGTTCAAATGGCACTTTGCATGTGTCCGTAGGCACCCAGGGCTTCGTGGGTAGGGGCTGCAGACTCTGGGGGCGCGCCCTTTGGGACATAGCTGATTCGTGCCCCCTCCCCAGCAGGCGACTTCCTGAACTGGGCCTTGAGCAACTGCAGTGCCAGCGCCGGGGGGGACCTAGCCGACTCCTGCTTCCTGGAGGGCCCTGCGCCCACGCCCCCTCCTGGGCTCAGCTACAGCGGTAGCTTCTTCATTCAGGCAGTACCTGAACATCCGCACGACCCAGAGGCACTCTTCAATCTCATGTCGGGCATCCTAGGCCTGGCACCTTTCCCCAGCCCCGAGGCGACAACATCTCGGTCTCCCGTGGAGGCCCCTTTTTCCGCGGGCACCGACGCCTTGCTGTCGGGTCCCCCGGATCTTTACTCCCCGGATCTGGGCGCGGCCGCCTTCTCCGAGGCGTTCTGGGAGGTCTCGCCTTCCACGGGTGCCCCCTCACAGTGCCTGTACGAACCTCAGCTCTCCCCGCCCGACGTCAAGCCGGGCCTCAGGGCACCTCCAGCCTCGCCAGCGCTGGACGCAGTCTCGGCCTTCAAGGGTCCCTACGCACCCTGGGAGTTGCTTTCCGGAGGGGCCCCAGGAAACTGTGGGTCACAAGGAGGTTACCAGGCCGTTCCCGAAGCCCGTTTCCCCTCAATAGGGACCAAAATTGAGGACTTGCTGTCCATCAGCTGCCCCGCGGAGCTGCCGGCCGGCCCAGCCAACAGACTTTACCCCACCGGAGTCTATGACGCTTTTTCACTGGGTCACTTGGGGGAAGCAGCCGAGGGCCTCCCGGGGCTGCTCACCCCTCCTAGTGGGGAGGGAGGAGGAAATATCGGCGACGGCGGGGAGTTCCTGGCCGGCACGCAGCCTCAGCTTTCCCCGCTGGGCCTTCGCAGCGCCCCCACAGCAGACTTCCCAAAACCTCTGGTGGGCGACATCCCTGCGAGCAGTGGTGCAGCTGTGCCTCCCGTGCCGCCGCCGCCACCCATCCCTTACCCCCCGACCAAAGCGCGGCGCAAAGGGCGCCGGGGCGGCAAGTGCAGCGCACGCTGCTTCTGCCCGCGGCCGCACGCCAAGGCCTTTGCTTGCCCGGTGGAGAGCTGTGTGCGCAGCTTTGCGCGCTCCGACGAGCTCAACCGCCACCTGCGCATCCACACCGGCCACAAACCCTTCCAGTGCCGCATCTGCCTCCGCAACTTCAGCCGCAGCGACCACCTCACCACGCACGTGCGCACCCACACGGGAGAGAAGCCATTTGCCTGCGACGTGTGCGGCCGGCGCTTCGCGCGCAGCGACGAGAAGAAACGGCACAGCAAGGTACACCTCAAGCAGAAGGCGCGCGCCGAGGAGCGGCTCAAGGGCCTTGGCTTTTACCCACTGGGGCTCTCCTTCGGCGCCCTGTGAGCAAGCAGAGGATGGGCTTGTAGGGGCAGGCGCCGCTGTTCAGCGCGCACTGCGAGGTCCGGCCGGGTTTCCCTCCCCGCTCTTCGTCGTCTTCGCACGCTCTGGGCCTGTCTCCACTCCTGCTTCCAGCTCCCTTGAAGCCAGCGCCCACAGCACACGCACTCGTTCAGCACCAGCTCTGTGGACAGCTCCAGAGGTCCGGGCGTTGTAGTCCCCAGTCAGCCATGCTTTGGGGAAAAGTCCTCCACGCCAATCCACCGAATAGGCACTTCCTTGAATCGCAAGGCAGTGCTTTGTAACTGGCGCACGCCCTGCGGCCTCCCGCACCCCTCCCCTTCCCCAGGGACAGGCTGGGGCAGCGCCGAGCTGGTCTCGCGCGGGACTTTGTACAGCAATGTCATTTCCAGCAGCCTTTGGGTGTTACTTTTTGTTGTTGTTGCTTTGGGGTAGTTTTCCTTTCTGTTGTTAATTTTTGTAAAGCAGACGCTACTGAAGCAGTTGACAAAACTGTTTATTTTTGCAATTAAAATGATTGTGCTAAAAGCTTACTGGATCTGTCGTATAAGCTTCTGGCCCGTCCCGCAGGGCAGTGTTGTGCCAGAAGCTAAACAAACAAAACCACCCTCGTGGCCCTGAACCGGTTAGGTACCTCCTGCGAGGTACGCCTATCCAGGACTGCAACACATAGTAGGCGTTCAATAAGTATGTATTGAGTTAATGAATAAATGTAATCATAGCCAACCGAAGGGCTAGCGGTGTTTCTGGAACTTGGAAGTGGTTGAAAGGTGTAGGCGGTCAACACTGTGCAAATAATATCCTTCTCAATCTTTACAGTCCCACGTGGAGCAGATATAAGCTCAATTTCAGAAGTGAAGTAGTGAAGGTAGCTTGCCAGGTAGCCCAGCTGGGAACAGACAGGGTCAAACAGAGTGAACCAAGGCTGGTTTCCCAGCCCTTCCAGAAGGGAGGCACTTGAGTTTAATTGCTCTGTTTGGAAAGGCTTCCTGCCAAAAAGTGAGAAATGCTTTCAGCGACTAGGGGGAGCCCCAAAAGCGGTAGCAACAGCAGCAGAAGGCCATACGGTTTTCCATGCAGAAATGTGTCACCAGAGTGTGTGGTGTGTCCTGGAGGCACCAACCTGTGCCCATGCAAGTATGGTGCTGTCAAGGCAAAGAGCTTCAGCATTCTACTAGACACTGCCCAAGTCTAGTGAGGAGTGATCCTTGCCAGAAGTCCACTTAGCTGTTCATCCCTCCAGGCTTCTCCTCCAGGAGGTGGCAGCCCATGCACCTGCCACAGCCCCGTTTTCCCGCATTTTCCTTCCAAATAAACACTTGGCAGTTAGAGGATAAGGCCCTATGGGATGGTAAGGAAAGCATGGTCCCATGAAGAGGAAGGTGTTGCTCCCTTTTGCTCACTCAACTTGCTGACGGGAACTTCTACACTCTGTCATCTGGGACAGGTCTTGGAGCATAAAATCCTGCCGGTGTGCAGCTGCCCTCCTCTTGCAGCGACTCCTCTGTGTAAGGAAGGGAGGAGGCGTATGTCTGGGAATCTTATTTTTCTCCCTTCTAATCTGAACTGTTCTGGAATTAGGAGGAACATGCTAATTACACGCTCCTCTCCCTCTCCCCAGCTTCGGAGCCTCTGACTTCTCTGTTTCATTTTCCTGCCCTACCCCAAATCCAACTGACCAGAGGCAAAATGATCAAGTCAGAAAAATCCCATCATTTCCTCTCTCCAAGAGTTAAGTACTTTCACATGGCTGAGTAGTGTACATCTAATCAAGTCGTTTGGTTTGTGGCCAAGGTGCCTTTTCTGGAAAACATTTTGCAAGAGCAGCCTGCAGAGGGCAGTGTTTAACATTACAGAGAGGCTCAAGTGGCTGATGGTAACAGGGACCCTCACGATCTTACTGTTCAAGGGACTAGGCTCCCTTGACTTCACTTTGCCTGCAGATGAGGGTGAGAAAGGCCATTAAGCCCCACAGCTGGTCCCAAACCACACAATCTCAATAAATGAGGAAGTAAAGGCAGGCTGTGAGTGACTGGCCTCAAACCATTCCTTCCTCCTTAAGCCTTTAACAATATTCCATCAAACACCTGTTGCTCAGGTGTGTCCCTTCCTCATTCTCAGGCCCAGCTAGGCCTTGTGTTGCTGATGAGGAAAGGAGTCTACGGCCATATCTCCCTGAACGTGCCCGATCTTGTCTGATGAGGAAAGGGACCTCTGAAGAAGTGACCTTCCGGGCCCGGTGCAGTAGCCTAGTGGCTAAAGTCCTCGCTTTGCTTTGCACACTCTGGGATCCCACATAGGCACTAGTTCGTGTCATGGCTGCTCCACTTTCCTTTCAGCTTCCTGTATGTGGCTTGGCAAACCAGTGGAGAATGGTCCCAAAGCCTTAGGAACCTGCACTCATGTGGGAGACCCAGAGGACGCTTCTGGCTCCTAGCTTCAGATTGGCTCAGCTCTGGCCTTGCTGCTGCCACTGTAATGGGGTGCAGCCTTTAATGGCTCCTGGCTTTTCAGCTTAATTGACAGTGGATGAGGTGGCGGAAACAGAATTTCCTCACTCAGCCCTTCTTACCTCCTCTCATGCTACTCAGATTAATTGAAGGCTCAAAAAGTGCATTCTGCCCCTCCTGCCTTCCACACCATTCAAAACAACTGACAGCAGGGAAATTACTCCCGAGGCTCGGTGCACCTGGTCTCTCCTGCCTGCTAGTGTACAAGATTAGGGTAACTACAGGAAAACGTTGGGCTCTGGTATCTCCCGTCCTACCTTTGGAAACTTTGTACTGCGTGGCTCTCAGTCTGATTGGAGGATGAGAGTTTAGACACCCCTGACTTTGGCAGCTGGGTGCAGTGGCTCCTGGAGTGTGGCCGGAGCTGCTACCTGCTGCAAAGCTTGGGAAATTAAGACTCCTCCTAACATCCTACATTTGGGTCCAGCGTGATCTCTTGCTCTCCATAACACCTCTTTTGGAGTGAACCAATGGACAGAAGATCTTTCTCTGTGTATTGCCTCTCTGTAAATCTGCCTTTCTGATAAAGCTAAATAAACCTAAACAAATAAAATGAAATAAAGCTAGATAAATCTTTTTTTTTTATTTATTTATACAAGTGACCCCTAGTAATCCTGCTCTGCCAGGTTCCAGAACTTCCAACCCTCCTGCCACCTGAGGGACATTAAACCCGTTTGGGGGAATTTCCTCTAGGGTTTTAGAGGCAGACAATACAAGGCCACAAAGAGAAAGAGTTATGAATCTGTCAGAGAGATGCAATATAATAGCCTAATAGCTGGGGTCCTTGTCTTGCACTCCATGGATCCTATGTGGGCACTGGTTCATATCCCGGCTGCTCTGCTTCCCATCTAGTTCCCTACTTTTGGCCTGGAAAGCAGTTGAGGATGGCCCTAAGCCTTGGGACCCTGCACCCGTGTGCGAGACCTGAAGGAAGTTCCTGGCTCCTGGCTCCAGATTGGCGCAGCTCCAACCGTTGCAGCTACTTGGGCAATGGGCCAGCTGATGGAGGATCTTTCTGTTTCTCCTTCATTCTGCAAATCTGATTTCCCAATTTAAAAAAAATGAATCTTTTTTATTTTTTTAAAGACTGTCAGAAAAGCAACCCAAATCCAAGACCAAAACAGAACTGGAATTTGTCAGAGTTTTATTTTCCCTACTTGATCTTTTTTGTGTTGTTGAAGATCAACTGTTTATTTAAACAGGCAGAATTACAAAGAAATGAGGGAGTTAGAGATCTTCCATCTGCTGGTTCACTTCCACAGTGGCCGCAAAGGCCAGGGCTGGGCCAGGCTGAAGCCTGGAGCCAGGAGCTTCATCTGGGTTTCCTGTGTGGATGCAGGGATCTAAGGACTTGAACTTCCACTGTTTTCTCAGGTGCCTTAGCAAGGAGTGGGATCCAAAGTGGAGCAAATGGGACTTGAACCAGTTGGCCAGTATTGTAGGCATATGCTTAACCCGTTACAACCACAGTGCGAGTCTTTTACTTGATATATGTATTAATTTTTTTTTCTAATTTTAAAGGCAGATTTATAGAGAAGAGGAAAGGCAAAGAGAAAGATCTTTCATCCACTGACTCCCCAGATGACTGCAAATGGCTCTTGCTGAGCAGATCCAAAGCCAGGAGCTTCTTCTGGGTCTCCCACAGGGGTGTAGGGTCCCAAGGACTTGGGCCATTCTCCATTGCTTTCCCAGGCCATAAACAGAGAGCTGGATGGTAAATAGAGCAGCCAGGACCATGTGGACAAACCAGTGACCATGTGGAATGCTGGCACTTTCAGGCAGAGGATTAGCCAGTTGGAGCACTGCAGCAGTCATGTACTTGGTCTTTTCTATCTAAAACTAAAATTGTGGGTGTGTACCCTATTCAGTCTTATCCCCTTTTCAATTCAGCCCCCCCCCGGGGGTGGATTCATTGTTAGACCTCAGCCATCACCCCTACATTGATAACATTGGAACTTCAATTCCTACTAAAAGTCTTTGGGGGGTCCTGCCTTCATTCAGGAGGCACTACTTGCATTTATGCACTGCGCTCTTTAGCCTGTAAGCTCAACTCAATGGGTCTGGAACTCATCTTGACCAGCTTTGTCTTTGCTTCTGCCAAGCACTCCAGGAGTAGCACCTGACGGATATGAATCTCTTGTTAACTCCTTGGCTTGGGGTTCCTGCTCCATGCAGGTGTTGGGATTTCAGATTCCAGCTCCACAGTTATAGTTTCTTGGAGGCAATTCCTGTTTTTCCAACTGAAGTGAGAGAGATGGGGTTGAATTATCCAGAAGCAATCTAAGCAGACATGCATACGATGCACAAAGTGGTGAGGTTTATTTATTGAAAGGGTGAGAAAGTGGACACACACCCCCACACACATGTAGCCATAGTGAGGCGTGGAGGGGCCCAGGAAAAGGAGCGAGAGGGGAAGGAGAGAGATACACAGCACCTCAGTGTCTCCTTCCCCTTGTAGTGGAAAAAGAAGGACCC